AAAATGTCTGTCATTATCTGAATGGAAAAAAATAATTATATGTACACATTATTGTCGTAATTGTACCACTCAGTTATAGTATGTGATAACAAATTTTTTTTTAAATTAATAAAACAATGAAATTTTAGCTTTGCAAAAACTATCCTCCTACATCTACTGCTCAGATAAGGTTTACTCAATACGAAAATAATTGCTATTTCCTAAACATATATACAGATTACAATTGAACAGAAAATCTATGTATCTATATACTTATTGATTTTATTAGAAAAGAATTAAGTGGCTTGAATCAGTAGTATTTGGAAAATACATTTTTATATTCTTGTTGACAAATACTTCTGCATTTTAGAAAAATGACAACTTAAATAATACATTTTTACGCGACCACGTATACATTGTATACACGTTTCATAAACGATTGTTGTTTCATAAGAAGCATAATATGCAATACTATCTCTATATATAGATAGCCCACTGCTGGCTAGGAATGTCTTATAAAATAAAATAAATAATAATAATAAAAAAAAAAGCATAATATTAATTATTTTCACCAATGTTCACGTGCAGTAGGTATACGTTGACGTAACTGTAGACAGTGTMTTTTCATGAATGCATTCAGAACACACTATTGAATATTATCGTACCTAATGTCGCTAAAAATCAAATAAATTAATTTTCGTTTAAATTTAAATGTATTTTATAAACGAAATTGAGTTGTTTACCAAATCAAAAATGAAATTATCAATTTTAGTCTTGTCGTATCAATATTGCATTTTTTACAGAATATTCAATAATATTCATCGTAAATATTCAAAAGACATCTTTGGGCGGTTTTGTTTATCTGCCGTGTTACAAACGTAGCATTCCGTGGACAATGTTATTGTTGGAATTATAACCATCTGCAAAAATATCGAAAATGTATATAAAATTTAATCCTTTTTAAATATTTACAAAGCATTTAACTCTCGCGTTTTGGGAACGTGCTTATATTTTAACAGTTTACTTAGCCAGCCGGCCCATTCAAGACGCACTGTTGCTGCAGTCCGTCGAGTGATGTGACGGAAGAAGAAGAAAGAAAAAAAGAATCAAAACAAAACAAATACGTTAAACACGTTTTTCCGTTTATTGACGTGCCTTTCTACGAATATTATTCTAATGGTTGAAATCGTGTACCCGTTTCCCTTTGATATACGTTCCGGTCCATATTTAATTGTCGATGCCGCGTGGCAGTGTGGTGTGTGCGAGTGAAGGGAAAGAAGTGAAAAAAAAAAAAGGTTCACCGATGGACACGCTTACGCAAACGACATGGGCCACGTTCGGTTTTAGAGGTCTCGGGGACAGGTACTATATAATAATAATAATAATAATAATAATAATGGTCTCTCTGCATGCGTAGGTCAGGTACACACCCATCGTCGTCACATCTACCTGCAGCAGAGGAGAGACCAAGAGCAGCAAAGTGGCTCCACAGTCGCGTCTGGTCCCTTGCAAGTGTCACACACGGGTCGTCAATAGAGCACGTTATATTATTATTATTATCGTTTCCGCGAATATTAATTCTCACCAGTTCACTGACTATGAAGTGTACCTCGGCCATGTGTTGTCTGTACGCGATCGTTGCCGCAGCGCTGCTCATCGCCGCCGTGCCGCTCTGTTGCCGCGCGGAGGAAGGCGTGAGCGACACTCTGATGAARATGTTCCGCATAGAGACGATGGGAAATCGCACCGCCGACGTCCAGATACCCAGCTACATGTACGAGTTGTACGAAGACACGGGAAATAGGCGATACGACGTCATAAGGAGCATCACGCCGACGACGGGTAACAATTTATAATCAATACATTATTAATAGTTAACTGTATTATATATTAAATATAATAATTAATATTTAACGCTAACGAAATGTATATAATATATGTATGTATAATATCCGATATGCAATATGTGCATGTATATAGTAAAATTATATTATGGTTTAACAACACTTTTAGTAAATTCAAATCGGAAGTTCTAAAATTGACATGATGTATTAAATATAATTATTATATAAAAAAAGAAGGAATACGTGATACAATACCTATTATGCGTTATTTTAGTTTCCTGTTTGAGAATTAATAATTGAAAATTTTAATATATTATAATATTATAACTATCAAATTAAATTTACAATATAATGTATACATATAGTTAGGTTAGGTTAGGTACAATAAATATAAAAATGTATAATATGCAATGTGACAATGAATAATTGATAAAACTTAAAATAATTTGATTTGTAGTTTATGGAAAAGCTTAACTTGTATTATGCATTTGTCATTTAACGATGTAAAATAAGTTATGAAAAGATTTAGTTTAATGCTTAAATTCTATAGCTCATTATAAAGTACGTCAATCGATTAAACAAAAGAATACCAACTATGCGTTATTCATGTTATAGTCTACGAATTTTTAAATTACGATGTATAATTTCATTGTAAACTTTGATTATATTATACAATTATACGATAAAAAAGGAAAATGAAAATTGATTGAGAACTAATAACTAAATATTTAACCAGATATGTTTTAAATTTAAATTTATAATATCATACCATTTTTTTGTTTGTTTTTAAGTTGTATAAAATTGATATCTTTATTAATTTATGTAATATATTCTTATTCTTGTACTTTCAATATAGGTATATTTTAAGTAATAATTTCAGCTGTGTGCTATTTCCTACATATAAACTATAACAATTGTATTTACTATAAAAACAATATAACAATTAAAATGATATTATAACAAGCAGTGGCTGATCTTTAATATTTTCAAAAATAGTCGAATAGTGTTGTATAGTTTCCATTGTTCTATACTATGAATTATTAGGTTCTTGTATCATAGATATTTTATTCATTCACGCGTATAGTGAGGAGACAGGGGAATGAGCAACTCTCTTAGAAATTGTATGGAAATTTAAAAATGCTTTCACTTCAAAAAGTTTACTGCAAAGTTTAAATTGTTATATAATATACCCACAGCATCAGTATGGCATACTTATGATGGATCCTAATTAAGCCTCCCTTATACGGCTGTATAACAAATTATTATAGGTAGTTCCACTCCATAAACCAAATCATGGCTGCACCACTGCACTTAATCAATTCTATTAAATATCATATTGAAAAGATTACAGAAAATAGAATACAACGTTATTTTATTTTATCCCTGTTTCTTCTTCAAACACTTCAGATCAGTCATAATATTGAACATTTTGTTTTGGCATAACTATTTATATTTTAAGCATCTGTTAATTCTCTTGATGAATAAAATAAAGGAATAATATAGTTGGAGTTCCCCAATGGAGGTATTTAGAAGCGTAAGTGAAAAAATTGCTAATATCTAATCAAAAAATATATTACTTAGGTAAGTGTATAAAATATAAACATGAAAATAATAATAAGCATAAAATCAAGAATACATTTAAAAATAACTATTACTGCAATAAGAAGTTAATTGATTACTATTTTTATGTGTCTGCCGTCTTGCTGGTATATTTTATTTTCAATATTAATATTATATATATAACAGATCAGCATATATATATAATATAAAAATTTGGTAGAAAATAAACATTTTTGATTAAAATTAAGAAATAAATTTGTTTTCAAAAATAACATATTTTTGTTGATTATTAATGATATGATTCATGCTTTATAATGAGTGTATGTACAATTTTTAATCATAATCTTTTTATTTATTCACTAATAAGTAATCTATAATACGTATGTATCAAAGTAGGCGCTTGAAAATAAAAGCTAGATAATTATTATGTGATAAAACAAAATTTATAAGTACCTGTTTTGTGTTTTTTTTTTGTCTGTCCGAAGTGGACAAATTTTAGAAATTTTAATTATAATTTTAAAATACTCCAACTATCATTAAAATCATGTAGATAGTAGAAAATATTTTATTTATTTTAACAACACCTAAATTATAATATGTGGTTAGTCCAACTCTAAATATATTCAATATTGTAGTAAATTATCCATAATACTTGTTTTAACTCTTTCACTGCTCATGACGCACCAGTGTTATTGAGAAAAATTATCAACAGGCCCTTTAGTTAGTTTTGGTAATATTTTTAGTATTAATCTTAATATTTAAGTCATTAATAATATACAATTTAAAGAGATTTATTGATGTCAGTATTACTATTAAGTATTATAGGGTTTATGTGTTAATTTAAAAATGTGCTAAATTGTGACCTATTGGCTATTACAACTGATACCATAATACCATATTTTAAAATATACAAACATTTAAACTTTGTGTTTATATCAATAGCATAGTAAACAATTCTTTACATTTACCTTTCTTGTGTAGGCGCCAACAAAAAAAACCCCAGTGGCGTCAAACCAGACGACCTAAAAATATGTCTCTAAAATACTGTAACAAAAGTATTGTGTTGCGTATTAGTGTAATATTTTAAAGTAGTATTTTGTTTATCTTTTGTTATTTATTTTCATGGAATATATTGTATTATATTTATTTACTTTATTTAGATGTKATTTATAACACTTAAATGAAGTATATTATACCTATACCTTCCAAATTCAGACATCATTCAAAATAAATAAATAAAAATACAACACAAAGTGCTTTATCTAAATTATCTTTACCTAACCTGATAATTGTTCATACGCATCATATAAAATAATTTTATAATCATTGTTTAATCTGGTTTAGATGTATTCAAAATATTTCTAAAATTAATATAAAATCGTATAAGTATTGTATATTGAATTTTCAAGTTGGAAGGAGACTCATTTCTATAAATTACTTTTCGACTTCATCAGATCTAATTGTCAAGTCAAGTCGGTATGTGAAAATAAAAGTTCATTTAAGCCCTGATAGGTTGGTCGCAGAAATCCAATTATTGTCAAAGTTCGGTCTAAAGAGTTGACTTGAATAACAACTGAAAACTTTCCACCGGATTGATTGTTTTTAGAACTTCAAATAACTTAATTACAAAACCGGAGTGTCTATATCCATTACAAGAGTATTAAAATTTAAACTTCATCTTATGCCATAATTTCGAATGATTGATTATACAATTTATAGTTGTTATAATAATTGTGAATGAATAGTATAAATAATATATTTTGATTAAAATTTATTTATTATAGATTTTATAAAATAAAATTATGTTGTGTACAATTTAGTTATATAATTTATATAATATAGTTTTTACTTATAGTTAATAAATCGTTGATTATTACTGTCGATCAGTATACCTATGTGTATTAGTGTATTTGATTTCTTTCAGCATAATATAATGTAGAATGTACATATTATTATTATTATTATTATTATTGTGTTTGAATTTCTATAGTAATTTGGTATTTCGTTTATGCCAGAACGTGGTACGGGTGTGTCGACGACACTTCATACAAGCATTAGAAAAAGACATAAATTCTGGTATTCGGGGTGTATATACATACAAAACGTACAGGGAAAAAAGGGTCGTTTTCGGAGTTTCAAATTTGGCGCCTTGCCTACTCTACTTCCGTTTAATTTGCGTAGCGACGCCGTCTGGATAACGTTTAGGAACATCGTCGTTATGGAAACACACGAAAAAATAAAAATAATAATAATACAACTACACTCCATAAGTGTACGCCGTCTTGTTGCCTGCAGACTGTGGGCTTTCCGTGTGTATGAAAAACCGATTGTAATTGTTTTTACGATTTTAGTCTTACAGAATATTTGGCCCGTTTGGGAGACAATTTTCGTTTAATTTCGTGTGCAGTATACTATAAATATGTGGAAGGATCGAACAAAGTGAAAAAAATATATATTGTGTGTGTGTATGGGTGGGTGATGGTTGTGTGTGTGTATAAAAGAAGACAAAATGTAACCCAGCGGTGGGCCGTAGGAAATGGTCGTGGCGCCAGGGACAAAGGACTTTTGTCCGAGGTAAAATACACATAAATGCAGGTGCTCGTTGTCGTCGTCGTCGTCGCGTCCTTATAGGGTCAATGCGAGTGTCTAATCTAATGGCTTGTCAATTGGTTCTTCGCCGCCACCGCCGCCGCCGTCGTCGTCGTCGTCGTCGCCGTCGAGACCGCCGCCGCTGCCCATCCCATACTTAGGCAGACGTGTCTCTCTGGGGCGACACACGTTTTAATCCTTTGTATCTCCTCTTGCCACCCACACCCCTTCCACAACTCTCCCGACCCCCAAACGACACACATACTTACATACGATTATTATTAAGGTACATGGAAATACATGTGGAATTCGGGATTACATTAGATATATATATTTTTTTAAACTGGATTTCTGTGGAGATTTTGCCTTGTCAGTCTGGCCCCGATAAATCGGATTTAAGAGGTCGTTATCTGCGACTTTCACGATACAAGAAAAAGATAAACGGATTAACGACGTTTTAAAGTATGTGGGTATGCAGTAAATAGGTGCATGCGTTTATTATAAATATCTCTACAAAGGTTATGAAGGAGGTAATGACAACATTGACAGATTCGCGTATTTGCAATAACGATAAACACTCCAGTTTATTAGACTTGTGAGACGTGATTACGGATTGTCAACAAATACTACGATTGATCAAAATTAATTTAAAAAACATATGTTATAATAGGCTCATACTGAGAAAATACTTATGTAAAATAAGTAGGTGGGTACACAATAATGGTGTTATATTTTAACTTAATAACTACGGTTTGATAAATTCTATTGTTGTACCTACAATATGTATTATTCCACGTGATTTCCATCACAATATGTCGATTATATTATACACATCATTTTTTCATTTTTTATTTAATCAACAATTTTGAAAATAATAACAAACTACATTTAAGAACCCACCATAACATGATATTATCTAATAGATATTTTTAATATTTTTATAATAAATTTTAAAAGTAAGTTGACAAATCTGTAAATAATAAACAATAGTACAGATCTGTGGTCTTAAAGCCACTTTGTCTTTATTTCGATGCCTCTGAACACATTTTAAACATTGCATGTATTTTTTACAAAATTTTGATCATTCAGTAGGAACAAACATTATTACAATTAATATATCCCGACAGATTTAGAAAAATATATGGTTTAAGAACCCTAGACCATAGTACCTATAAAAGAGAGATATCGAAATACAAAATTGAAACTTCATGATATCTCATAGCTTATATTTTTGTATAGCATCTAAAGACGTCTTATATTACTGCACATAGTAATTTTGGTACCTATATTATATTTCTATACAAAGAATACAAATAAACTTCTGTACTATTGTTAATGGAAACAAATAAATAGTATTACTATTTTACGAACTCTAAATGAAATTAAAATATAAAAGAATTTCGAAAGAACCCAATACCTTCCTAAATGGTTAAATATCATGAATAATCATACTACATTGCCATTGATTAACTAGTAATTACACTATAACAATTTAGTTTTTACAATGCTAATGTGGCAATTTATAAACAATTCAATAGATGGTGTTAAATGTATTATGTTACAATCACACTAATGGAGACCATGTCGCTTTATTAAAATTTTAACTAAAGATAATGACATTTATTTTAAAACATCTCTTTTTTAACTTCCTGCTAAGTATTATCTCTATAGGTAGTTTTGTTTCACAATAATGATATGCAGGTATTTTTTTTTTTTCAGAATCGCTGGGTGCGTACAGTCAGTTTGTATATGACCTGAGAACACTTGAACCTTCTGAAATAGTTCAAAAAGCAGTCCTTCAGCTTGAACCTAACACAAATCATCAATTTAGCAAGGCTATAAACGTATCATTTTTTGCTTTGCCTAAACAAACCGTATCGAAAACGTATTTAGGGTCAGGAACAATACATGGCACTTTAGATTTAGCCAACACTTTGGGTCCACAACCATTAAATGGCTTTGACGAACTAGTCGTCCAGATGGAAGGGACGGCAAAATTGTCTATTGGACTAGTGTTATATTCGATAACCGCTGGTGGTAGATATGCAAAAGGCAATGAATTGGCAAACTTGCTGTTTGAAACAACAGTTAAAAGACGTAAGAGGTCAGTGGCTGATAATGAAATCGATGTTAAGCGAAATCATTTCACTAATGAGCCAAAACGAAAGAAGAAAAAGCAAAAAGTTTCACGAGTCAATAAGTTACAGGTAATGAAATATTCACACTTAGATAAGAATATAGATAATAAATCGTTTTTCGGACTTTCGTTTATGATTGTCATAATAAATGCGATATTATACCATCTTGTATATATTTGTATACTCATAATATGGGACTAGCAATATTTTTTTAAATGCTCTTTAAATATACCAAATTATTAAATGATTATAATATTTTTATTTAGCTAAAACTCTATAGTAATTATCAACTTTTCGAATTGTGTCATATTAATAATATATCTATATTATATACGTGTCACTACATTAGGTTTCATTATGAATATTTTAAACCAATCTTAGTGCAAAACTTTTTCCGAAAGAAAAAACACATAATAATTGTAAAGTCAATAGCTCTTGCATAGAATTAAATATATAGGTTAATAATATAAAACGAATAAGTAAAAATTAAATTCTACAATATTTAATCAGTTTTAGTATAATTAATTAAAGAAAGGCTTTAATACGCACAAACGAAACACATTGCAGTTTTTCAAGCATAGAATAAAACCTATTAAAAATCGATTAAAAAAGCTAATGAAAAAAATAATTTTAAGTATAAAACGATGATCATTTAAAAAAAAAAAAAATAGATAATGACGTGAGTGCTATTTTAACGAAACTAAAAAAATATCATGTTGGAATCAAAACGATTTGAAATGATTGGAATAAAAATATTTTCTTTATGATATTATTGATTAATGAAATACGTAATAAAAATATTTTCTTTATAACATGTAAAGCAACTTATATCCTAATGTAATGAAATATATAAATATTTGTAGATTCAGCTACTTCGTAGTTAATTAAATGTCAAGCTTTGTCATTTAGACAGAACACAGTCGCCGTCCCATAGTATTTATTCGAGAGATACTATTTTATTATTTAAACATTTAATATGTAATATACGATAGAATTAATGTAGTATGACAATTTTTTTACATTTTAAATTAATAATCATTCAACCAACGATTAAAACAACTACAAATTGAAAAGAACGCTTTTTAATTTAAATACCTATTTTTATTTTCATATGGTTTCGCTAGAAATAACTAAATTACATTAAATAAAAAAAGTGGTGGTAAGTATACGAGTAGGTAACCACTTTTACAGTAGGTGAAAAGTGTACTTCCATCATTGAGTAAGTCACTGTAATGTATATGTTTAAGTTAAATTCAGTGATAGGTCATTACATGTGTACAACGGTTCTCAAACTAGAACACAAATTTGGTAAGTTTTAYATTTGTAACGATTAATAGTAGACACAACACAATAATATTCGGGTGTAACCACATAATAGATTCGTTTCAGATGTAATATYATTTGTGGAATTATGGTCCTATTATGCGCCTCGACAGTCCACATAACTGCATTCGTATACTTAACTTATATTTAAAAAAAATTGGATTTAATATTTTAATACGTTAACCACCATATGACCACCGGCGGTCACCTGTAAATCTCAAATTGCGTACGTTTGTGACCACCAGCGCCCATAGTTTATTATTACTACCACGCCATATGACCACCGACGACCGTAAATTAATATTTTCGTTTTATAATATGAACTTTTCTATGGCGTTACAATAATKTTCTAAAAACGCTAGCCTTGGTGAAGCGCGAATCATTAAAATACTTTTTCAAGTACTATAATCTATACAATTTTGAAATGACACTGAATAATAAGCGTGGCATATTGATAATACAATATAACACTACGTGACCGCCGGCGGTCATATCGCTTTTCCGATGAAACAATGGCTTATGTTAAAATACAATAATTGTTCGTCASAAAACTAAAAGTTTTTATTATTTAGGAATATGACACATAAGAAATAGTTTAAAAAGAATGAACGATTATTTTTGTATKTTATACTAAATTTAGTTTCGTTTAAAATATAGGTATTCATCAATTTTTGTCAAAATTAATAAAAAACGTAAACGTGTTAATTAAATCAACCAGCAAATTTAAATAAACTAATGTTAATAAAATCAATACCTATAGTATTCGAGGATATAGCTTTTGTTTAGTTTATTATTAGATAATAAACATAATCAATAATATTATGTGCCGCTCCCAAAACTTAAATATGTATGAGAAGTAGACTAGGCCGCGCCTGAAATATCTATAACGTAGACAAACAACAGTGCACTCGTTCAGTTAGGATATTCAGTGTTTTGCAGTTTTAAATATTTTTCATAGTGCGTCGCCGTAAATAATATCAATAATACTTTGGTATAATATATGGTATCGAATGTATTGTTAGGTATATTTAATATAATAAATGATCAACGAAAAATAAAACATTATCCTAACATATCCCTGGTAATATATAATATACGCGTGAAATGATCTATTTAACATAAAACACCAATTTTTTCGAAAGGTTAGGTTATTTTTGAAAATATTCCATTCGAACATAATTTTAAGCCGTTTCAAATGATATTTAGGGGAAAAAAATGTACGATTTAGAACAGGGATGGCAAACCTTTTGAACACTGCGTGCCCAAAATTACCTTTTATTTTTTTAGAGCGTAGGTACCATGAAAACAATTTTAAAAATATTAAATATTAAAAGTATTTATATTTTGTTATACCTTTATAATTTGATTGTATAATTAATGTATTAGTATAAAAAGGTTAGTTTAGGTACATAATAATATTACTTTGTTAATTATTTATTTTGATGTGATTTATGTTGTTGAACACTTGATGCCAATTCGTTGATATTTGGTTTATAATTAGTAACTTTTAATAAAGTACATGCGGCACTGCATTCATCAGTTAGTCGGTTTCTTAAATCAGATTTTATAAAATTCATTTCTGAAAATAGTGACTCACATGAATAAGTTGAAGAAAAAATAGACAAAACAGCATATTATGCTACTATTTTTAAAATGGAATAATCTTTTGGAATTTCATTCTACACTTTAAAAATCTTGTCCCCTATGTTTACGATCAATTTACCTATCTCCCTATCACGCTGAAATTCTTCTAATTCATTTCTCAGTATAACGAATTTTTCTTACTTAGTCGAGTACCATATGGAAATGTTCACTATTATATTAATATATATAGTAAACATTTTCGTGTGCTCACAAAATCTTTTCGCGTGCCATCCCTGGTTTAGAATTATGTAAAACAAATAATTCAAAATTGATTTTGGAAATATTGAGTGTCCGCGTAGCGGATCTAAATGTACGACCCGGTATAGTACAAACATACATTTATTAATTTTCCATTCATATGACGCTCATAGGTATCGTTTTTTAATAAAATTATTAATGTTTCATGACGTGTGCTGTCTTGCAGGCCGTGGACACGGGTGACACGATCACGTTTACCGGCTCGGACCAGTGCCGGATGGAGAAATTGGTGCTCAACTTTGCGGACATCGGCTGGGAAGACTGGGTGATCTACCCGAAGGGGTTTGAGACCAATTACTGCGCGGGTGGTTGCCTGTTCCCGCTGGGCAAGGGGTCCAAGCCCACCAACCACGCGACCGTGCAGAGCCTGGCCAGGTCGTTCGGTCGGCTGTGGGACGTTCCGGAGCCTTCGTGCGTGCCYGACACACTCGCCCCGCTCACACTCCTCTACATGGACCGGTCCAACCACGTGCTGCTCAAGAGCTACCCCGACATGAGGGTGGTCACGTGTTCGTGCAAGTGACGAGGTCCTGTACCGCGACCATGGTTGTGACGTCACGTCGGATGACGTTACGCACCGTGGAAACAGTGGTACACATAACATGACGTACCTATATTATAATACCTACCTATGTAATTTATTGTTCAGTCGGATYGGCGTGTCCTGATGATCTTCGTGGACACATCCAAATGTATTCCCAAAATGCAATCGTATCAGACAATCCGGATACACCGTGTACCTTTTATTTTAGAAACATTAGAAACCGCGGTGGTGATCATTGATTGTTGGCGTTAATGTCACTGAAATTACTTTAAGAGTCGATTTTTGTAAATTGGAAAGACTATATTTATTATGATATTATGTAAATAGTTTTAAGTGTGCACAGTACAACATTAACAATTAAAAATTTTAAAAAAAGTTATAATTATACTGTAAATGTCAAGATTTCCCTGTGAATAAATCCCTTGTTATAAAATATACTTAAAGTCGTATAAATTCATATTCATATTTTCTTCGTACTCACGAAAAATCGACCTGGATCATTATATTAGCGTAGACGACGTTAAATGGATCACTCCGTACATTACGTATACATACTTTATTGTATTTTTAAAATATAATTACWCGTTTGTATTGTTACTTAAGTATTTCGTTTACCCGTGTCATGCATAGTACATCGAATTAACAATAAAACTATTACGGTCAGTGACAAAAGGAAAAATTCAGTGTTACCAAACCATATGGTGTTTTTATAGCTTTAGTTAGTGCATATTATAGGTATATCATTATTCTTGCGCAATATTTATAAACCGTTATGTTATTTATTGAAAAATTGTAATGTTAAATTATTATACTATTATAATAATATTGTTATTGTCCGTGATAACAGATAAAAGCTTAATGAAATTAATTATGATAATAACGATGGCATAATATTAACATTCCGTGACGTCACATACATAATTAATAAATTAATCATAAATCATATAACTATATAATATACTTACAGTTGATCCAAATCGCTCATCTTGATATCAGTTACAGAATTAGACGCGTGACATCGGAAAAATCAATAAATTTGTTTATGATTTTTAATATTTTACATACTGAGTGTTTAATGTTCACATCGATGAAATATGTTTATCATTATAATATTATTATTTTGTTTATAAATTATTTATTTTGGATTAAATATTATGAATGTGACGAAGCAATATGTTTGATAACGATATGCGAGGATTATAATATTATCAAACCAATATTTTGTTTGATCTATTTTTATTGTAATACAATGTTATATTATTTTATACATTATTACCTTAAGTTTAAGATAATTGATTGAATTTTTTAAGATGCTCATTTTCAATTGAATATGCTTAGATATTTATTTTATCAGCAAAAATTAAATTATAAATATGTAAATAAAACCTATATGTTTACACCTACACCTATTTACATGCATGTAGAGTATATCCATAATAATACTTAAATAACAATTATTGATGTGTTTTATGTACTTACATAGTTACATTATATTACTATGTTTCTACATTTTTACGTATGCGTTTTATACGTAAGCACGAAAGTACATTGAGACCATATTTTCAGGTTCCTGAGATTTATTGTGTCTACTAACTAAGGGGTATCCTATGGTGATACAAACTTTTGTTTTTCAAATGATAACCCCCTTATCAATTGTAAATTATTGGATATTTTTTATGAAATTKTTTATGTACATAATTTAAAATTTGAAGGAGTAGTTTTTAGTCATCAAAATGTACAGGCCAAAGCTAATAGGCTTTATAAAAATGGTTTCAAAAAAATATAAAATATATGTAACATTGGATATAGTATTTACTATAGGTAGTTCAATCATTTTYATAAATTATAAATATAACGGCAAACACTGTTAGCTTAAATACCAGGAAAAATCTTATAAAAGGTTTTGTATGGAGTATAGCCCTCTATGGGGCAGAAACATGGACGATACTAAAAGTGGAAAGAAWAAAGATTAAAGCATTTGAAACATGGTGTTGGAGAAGAGCACTGAAAATTTCTTGGACAGAGAAGGTTAAAAATGAGGAAGTATACCTAAGAATGAACGAACAAAAAGCAATATGGAAGACAATCAAAGAAAGGAGAAAAAAATGGATCGGACATATTATGAGAAATAATGAATGGATAACGACAATAATAGAAGGAAAAGCTGGAAGAGGTAGACCAAGAACACCATCTATGAAACAGATCATAGACGATATAGGGAAAACCAACTATAAGGAACTAAAAGTAGCTGTAATGAATAGGGATAAGTGGAGAGCCATCAAAGTCATTTAACCAATCTAAGGATTGTAAAAAAAAAAAATATAAATTACTATACTATTTTCAAATGTCTATGGCCGCAATAGCTTTGAAATTCATCATTAATTATCATGGATAAAATTATCCTTAGTACCTACACAAATTTAAATATATCAAAAACTATTCGTTTGGATTTTGATTTWGATACGTCAAGTTTTTCAGAAATACTATCAGCCAAATAACTAACCACTAAAACAAAAAATGGTTTTGTTTTTTAAAATCAAAGTTGGAATCTCCACAAGACACRTTAAGTGATATTAAAAATATCAAMAATTTAAAAATAATATTATYCTTAAGTATATTTAAACCATCCAAAAATCATAATCATAATAAATTCGTTATTAATTGAAAAATTGGGATATTCTCATCTGTTTGGTGAATCACCATATATATCATATTTTGATAGAAACCTAAGTTCAAGCTTAAATGTATTAGTTATTTACATTTTTGGCTCTATCAGAAATTGGGAAGGATATAAGGTTATACCAAAAACACGAATGTGTTTCAATTTATACCCGAATAAATCTATATTTTCTGTTCAGAATTCACATAATATTTTAACAACTATTATAACGCGTTATAAATAAATTATTCAATATTTTTTTTTTTTGGTGGTCGTCAATAGATATTCCGTGTTGATACATTTATTATTATATCACATGTAGATATCAAATATATGATATAATATTATGTGGTGGCGCAATCACGATGTGTTTATAAGTATGCCAATAACACGTACCTCAATGTAATGTCGTTCGGTAAAATAATTACGAATAACTTATTTAAACCCATAATTATTTTATCTGTGGTTTCTAGGTGCGATTGATATAGGTGAGTAGACTCATAATATTTACCTCAAATGAATCTCTTTGTATTATTATGGTGCTTAATAAATTAATAGTTGTGTATTGATTTACTTTCATACATCATGATTGTTAAATAACCAACAAACTTTCAAGAAAAAAAAAATAGAAAAGAAGGTAACTGCTCTGCTGTAAAGATGTATATAGGTATCGAGTGTACCTCGTCATTGAGTAAGTTGTTGTAATCCATGACATGTTAAGTTTGAATTCAATGATAAATCATCGCATACGAWAAACGATTCCAAATGAAGTCAGACAACTTTCGGTCTATATTTGTTGGTATATTAATTTATGATATATTTTAATATTTATATTGCTATATTAATGTCGTTTATTTTATTATATAGTACATAATTCATTATATAATAGGC